CTTACAAATGACGTCTTCACGATACGCCCCGGCGATCGCACATCGCTATTCTCGACACTCCCGAGACTTATTAACGCGCGAGATGCACTTTCGATGGATAAAAGACGCGAGAAACGCGGAGCGATGTGGATCGATGTGTGCCCATGGCTGCTGCTTGCGAAAAGATCGAGCATCTCGCACGATTCATTACCAACGCATGCGAAAATCAGTATACGTAACGTGAACTATATTTTCGCATGCGTATCTCATTCGTATACCGTTAAGAATCAAGCCCCAGACGTCCCGATTTTTTCGGGACAGTCCCGATTGATCACCCTTTGTCCCGAATTTTTTCGAGTACTATTCGGGACACCGATTTTTCATCATTTTCAATGATTGTCAAATAATTTTCGCATCTTTTTATCCCCCTCCGCCCGCTCCACACATTTATGAAGTGTCCCGAATTCAGGGCTGGGATCTGGTTACCTTACGTAAAACTGATGCTTCGCGTTACAAATTCAAGCCAATGTATCCCATCGACTTTTGGCACAGATTAATAATTAATGTCTCCTTTAACACAAATACAAAAACTGAGATCTTTTGTACTCACGTGACTACGCTGATTTGATTCCTATTCCACAGGAGAATGATTTCACGTCCCTCGGAAGCGCGGTAATTTCCCCTGTCCAATGAACGTTGTTCCAAATCGCTACGGCGTCTACAAACAGAGTTATTGACAGTTATATCGATCCGCGTTCTGGATTATTCGGCGCTGTTGCGAACCGTGGATACGCAATTACGCGACGTGACACGTGAGTGGAACGCGACTGTTGCTGCGGCAAGCTTAGAATATATATACATGGAGGGGGAATTGCGTATGCCTTCTGTAGACCAAAAGTGTGTCCATGATGTGTGCGAGAGAGAAGGATATATATTCCTATTCATCCTCTGTGCGCATGCGCCAACATGCGTCAGTTGTTGCTGGACTACAAAATTATTAGTTTCAATATTTTTTTACTTGAATTCTATCAACTTTACCGAAAAATAGCAAGAGATAAAAATTGTTTATTTTCTTCTCATAGAGCTCGGAGAATTTTTTCAGAATTTTGAATTAACTTTTTAGTACTGCATTTTCTTGCGTTTTCTTGTATTTTCTTGAAGTACTAGAAAGTTAATACAAAATTCTGAAAAAATTCTCAAAGCTCTACGAGAAGAAAATAAATGTAAGAAAGTGAGTGAGAGCCCTATTCGAAAACGCCGAGTGCACGCGGACTACTTCTTCCCATCGACACACGGGGCGCGGAGGAGAATGGCGCTACGTTGGCGCCACCGCGCGAGAGACTGCGAGACGAGACACGAGAGAACATGCTGAGGCGTTTTTTCATTTCGTGACCGCGATAACGTTTGATTGGTTGGTTTGGTCCACTTAACGCTCGCAACGTCTCGAGCAACAAAGATAGAATGATGCTCGCGGCGTTACGAGCGTTAAGTGGACCAAACTAAGGTAAACGTCCTAGTGATTGAACGTGTACCGATAATTGAATTACTAATAATATACTTGTGTTTGTTAAGACGCTTATCAATAAATGAAACAAAATCACAAAGTAACTAAATATTTCTTTTCATTTATTATACTGTTTTGTATATTGAAAAGCATTTCAACAAAGAAAAATACAAAATCAATATGTCAATCATTGGGACATGTATGTTCGACCACTAGGACGTTTAGCTTAACCAACCAAACGCTACCGTGATTACGAAACGAAAAAACGCCTCTGGACGACACGCTTGACGGCACGTTGTGCACCGCGTTCTTATAAATATTCTAGACGACAGTACGAGTTGACAATATATTTCATATCGTACCTCCAAGTGCGTATTTATTCTCGATTCCCGGAACGATCTTACATAAATAACTTTTATCTCCTGTCAACTTTATAACCTGACCTAACCTATACTGCGTTCGGAAACACACACTGTGTGCACACTACTAGATGATAGCCGTTGAGCGGAGTGATAGGAGTGAGCGAAATACAAGAGTGAGATAAAAAGAGAGGGAGAGTACTCGAATGACGTTTCCGAAACGCAGCCGTAATCTGTCAACTTCAACGCATGCGCACAGAGCACGAATAGGAACGTATAGCTTTCTCTCTCGCACACATCTTGAACACACTTTCGTGCCAGCATTCCCCCTCTATGTATATATGCTCTAAGGCGGCAAGTCCCTCTGCACACGATGGTATGCGGCGCAAGCGCGACCGTTACCCCCACTCCGCGGCCGAGATAAGCACAGTCGCCCCATTCAGTCGCTCGCTACTGCTGCGGCTGTGCGGTCGTTCACCTCGCCTTAGAGATACAATGTGCCGGCGCAAGAGCAAGTTTCGAGCCCAAATCTGATACCAGTTTCGCGGCACTGTAAAGGGACGTCTACATTGGAAGTAAGTAGGAAGTAAGAGTAAGAAATTGACCAACCATAGTCGAATGTGAGAAGAATAATCAACTATGATTGGTCAATTTCTTATTCTTACTTCCTACTTCTTACTGCTTACTTCCAATGTAGACGTCCCTTAAGCGTCTTCTACAATGGCAGTAGTAGTAGTAGTTTTAAGACCACAAGTGAAAGAACAGTTAAAAATAAAAGCATAATGAAGTTAAATGATGTTTTCTTAAAAACACCACTTAACCACATTATGCTTTCTACGCGAGACAAAATGAGAGACATTTTACAAAACTTTTATTTGTTTATTTCTAAATTATTAATTTTCAAGCGTTTTTAAAAGTAACTTATTAAGACATACAATATATAAGAAGGTTATTGTACGTTTAATTATAATATATAAGAGTGTTATTGTATGTTTAATTAATTATAATTATTTACTAATAATATTTTTCTTATAAAACGACAAAATTATTTTCTTTATTATTTCCTTTTACAATAATATTAATGACAACCAATATTAAGTGTAGTAATTTTTGGCAATCTTCTCAAACATATATAAAAAATATAAAAATATAAAAAATATAAAAATATAAAAAATACATATAAAAAATATATATAAAAATCATATATAAAAAATAATTTATTTTAACATTTTAAGGTTATTATAATAGCATAATCCCATTATGCCTTTAAATGTATAAATTTAAATTGGATAGTATAAAATATCATAGATTGCGTATAATTAATTGTATCTATTTACATAGATACTTAATTAAAATGACAAATGGATTTGAATTGCAGGAACGATTTTGTGATAAAAGTCCAATCGCATAGCGCATTGCGATTCAAGAAAAGAAAGTTGCAATGCTTGCGATATATCGCAAAATCGCACATCCCTAGTCGTAACTCGCGAATAAAATAAAAACAGATCTTATTGACTCGTATTTATGACGTTCTTTTATTGCCCATTCGTAAGATTTGGTAAATACGATAACGTATGCAACGGGCAAGCTTTTTCACGAGAATGAAAAGCTTTAAACTCGTCATTCACGATCAAATTGTTGCGATTCCTTCCTTAGTTTCATATCACTTGAAACTCGTCTCAAATAAGATTTAAAATTAGAAATTAAAATCAAATTAGTTTTTCTGTTTTTTTTTTATCGTTGACTACACATATAATGTCACATATATTATAATTCAACTGAAAATTTTGAATCTCTGAATAAAAATCCGAGTATCTCACTTGAGACAAGTTTGAGATGACAATTATTAATACGACCTTTGGTCTCATCTATTATAACGTTGTCGAGTTTGATATTGTGGGTCGAAGTAATTATGGAGTAACAAGTAATTATCGTGGTTATTTGTAAAATGGTAAAGGACTATGTTATTTAATATCATGAATATATAGAATACCTGACGCAACGTACAACAACGCTCGTATATGAGTAGACTCATACACGAGCGTTGTTGTACGTTGTGTCAGATATTCTATATACGTTTCCAAGAGCAATGAAAATAATATAAATGAAATTATATATTAAAACATTACGAGAAGAAACAAAATTCCCTCTCTTCCCCTTTTTTGTTGTTTTATATATTCATTAATTATACAGTGTTTGAATTTAAGTGCTTGTGTGCAGGCAAAACTTAGTTAAGTTAAATAGAGAACTTAGTTAAGTTTAATAGAGAAATCCTGTGCAATTTTGTATAAACTCTGTCACGGTAATTATAGAGATATGAAAAAGAATTGGTTAATCGATACATATTAGAGAATTGGTTAATCGATGTGGTGAGAAGAACTTACCACATGATTTTACGCGTATAATATTAATCTATCTAGCCGCTCATATCTTTTTTATGGCAAAAAATTGCTTCTTACAGCAAAAAAAGTAAATAATTACCACATATTGCTTTTTGTGTTCTAATGATTTGGCTCAGATAGCTTAAAAAAAGTCTCTTAACTTAATATTAAGCTATCTAGCGACTTTTAAAAATAGCATTTCCATACATTACAATAGAAATACCACGAATTTTTTGCTAATTTTTTGCTATTTTTTGCTATTTTTTTGGAAAGAAAATTTTTAACTACAGCTAAAAAAATTATAAATGAGTAGATAGTTTAAGAAGTAAAGTACTCTTAAAAAGTGGATTGTTCCCATCACAATTGCATCGTTATATAGCTTGATTTATTTGCTCTCGATATATGTTGGTCGGATATATGCAATTGTGATGGGAACATTTTTAAAGAACACTTTACTCTTGTAGCCACCTAGAAATAGCTGCCACTTTTTCAGTTACTCGATAGTCAAATGCGCTCTTTTAACTTTAACTGATACATCAATATCTTACAACGCGAATATGTTTTATCCGTGATAACCGACTCTTAGCAATGACAACAAAATAGCTTAGCAATGACTAAAGTCGAATCAGCCACTGAAATTCAACTGATACTACTAATATTTCCCTATCATTTCTTAGCGTATACGAATCAAAGAGACTAATCGGAACATTCCAGCGGACAATGCCGGTAAGAGCATCCTGAAGAATAATATCTACGTTCCTATCTGCCTGGTCGCAGTGGTGTGCGGCACTCTCGTGTGCTGCGTCATCGTCGTGCTCATCGTCCACCGTTTCGCGACCGAGCGGATGCTCGACGGCGATCCGACCCTCACGATCGTCCTCATCCTGGCCAACGTGTTTACCCTGCTAACAGCGCTGCCCTTCTGCATGGCGGACGATTATTTCGGCGCGGAGAGCCTGAACGCCCGGAGGATCCTCCTGGCCACTCTCGCGTTCGGCTTCACATTCTCGATCATGCTCTCGAGAGCTCTATTCCTGGCTTTCTCCACCGGCGATGTTTTCGCCAACCACGTCAACGGGTACCTGCAGAGCGTCATGGTGTTCTTCATGTCCGCCGTGCAGCTCGCCATATCGATCGTATACTTCGTCCTGAACACAACGGACTCGGCTGCGATCGCCAGGAGTCTCGTCTTTATCGCGTTATTAGGTATTTTTCACGTTCTTCATGCGACCGACTTCGCGAAAACTTGCTTTTAATTACCTTCTACAAATTACTTTACACTCGATCTTGCGAGTTTCTCCTTTAATCGTCATCGTTTGTGCGAAAATTCTTGAACTAATCTATACGAGAAGAAAATATAGTTCTTTTCCTCATATAAATTTGTTTCAATTTTACTAGGTTTCTTATATACAATATTGTAAGAATAGATATTCAATGAAGTATATCTTGCTAAGATATAACATAGTAAATTTTAAAAACAAATAAACAAGCCAGCAAGCTTGTCTTTGATTATATATTTAAACAGCGTTTATTATTTGATAATTCTCATAGTAAATTTCGCTAGAAATCTAGGAGAATTTTTAATAGCACATTTCAATTCCTAAAATATAAATGGCATACACAAAATAAAAAACGCTGTTTATATATACAATCAAAGACAAGCCTGCTGGCTTGTTTATTTGTCTTTAAAATTTGTTATATCTTAGCGAAATATCATTTCCTGCAGTACATTGATTTATTCCTCTATTACAAAATTCTATAGCAATTCTTACTATAAAATTCTCCCCATGTAATATCTCAATATTCTAATTCTTGTTTCAAGATTCGACATATTTATTACGTTCTTTTGTTTCACTGGCTGCTTCATCACAAATTCTATAAATTCACTTTTACAAATTCGGTCTCTTGCAAATTTTTCCCTTAATCACTATCGTATTCTATAAGTACTCTCATGTTAATTTAGTATCTGAAAATTCTAATTCTCCTTGTTTCAGGATACGACATATTTCTGTTAATCGCGCTCTTCGTCACTAGCTGCTTTATCACGAATTCTCTTTTACAAATTCCCTTATATTCGATCTCTTGCAATTTTTTCTTTGATTACCATCGGACTTTATAAGTATCCTCATGTCGATTTAGTATCTCAAAATTCGAATTTTTGTTTCAAGCTACGACATATATGCCTGTTAATCACGCTCTTCGTTAATTGCCGCTTCATCACGAATTCTATAAATTCTCTTTTACAAATTTCCTTCACTATTCGGTCTCTTGTAAGTTTTTCCTTTGATCGCTGTCATTTCTATAAAGATCCTTGTTAATCCACTATCTCAAAATTCTAATTCTCTTTGTACCAGGCTATGATATATTTCTGTTGATCGCGCTGTTCGTCACTTGCTGCTTCATCACCCGGATTGAACGCAACTATCATGAAGGAAAGTGCTTCTTCGGCACTGCCGTCGGTCTACTGGTGATATGGGCAATATGGCTGATTTGCTTCGTACTGATGCAGCCGGAAAATCGCGACGCAGTCGTCTCCTTCGGCGTCATCGGCACAGCTTACTCGATTATCCTCGGCACTTTAACACCGCGAATCTATTACATGGTGATGCACCCTCCTGGCAGGAAAAACCTCGGACGAAAATTGGATCTCGTGGATCTGTCGGCCGATTCGACCGTCGGCACAACCATCAGGCAGGTCCGAATTCGACATATGTTATATTTTTATGAATAATTAAGTAATAGCAACCTCTGACATTATCTAATCTTGCAATTAATTAATATCAATATGCATCGTCGACTTGCTTTTAATCGACAATTTTGCTCTGTCAATGATAATTTAACCTATCTCACATATGAGATGTATATACAGGGTGTCCCATTTTAATCGATCACCTCAAATATCTCTTGAACAGTGCATTTTAGGGAAAAATGTTTCAAATAAAAGTTTTGGGATTTCGAAGGGGACATAAGATGATATCATTGGTTTGACCTCGAGTAGCGTCGTCAAAGTCAGGACAAGGTCACTTTAAATTTTTTAAATGGAACCCTCCATTTTTCATTAGATATTCTTATAGCATACCTCGAGAGCTTAGAGGTAAAGTCGTTGATCGGTGATCCATTAAAACAAGGCTATTGATAATCCAGCTACCTAAGACAAGATCGTATTATTATTTTCGTTTTCACTGTAAAATTTGAAGAAATGAAAATATTAGGAACAGCCTCCAATCGCCTTGACCTTGACAAATGTTGTCAAGGTTATGGCCCTGAACAACATTCAAAAGGTTTTAACCGTTGGTCGAACACTTTGGATATCAATGCTAATGGCAACAATATTGTAACTTTGAAGTCTTTTAACTCGAAAGATACTTAATGAAAAAATATTTTATTATAGTGTTTTGGAAAGCTCTCGAGGTATGTTATAAGAATATGTAATGAAAAATGGGGAGTTCCATTAAAAAAATTCAAAGTAAGCTTGTCCTGACCTTGACGACGCCACTCGAGGTCAAACCAATGATATCATCTTATGTCGCCCTCGAAATCCCAAAACTTTTATCTGAAACATTTTTCCTTAAAATGCACTGTTCAAGAGATATTTGAGGTGATCGATTAAAATGGGACAC